CAACTCAAGTTGTTCTGAAATCTTCAAATTTGTTTCGTTTAATTCTTGCATTTGTCACCTTAATCTCACACAACAATATTAGCCTTGTGAGCCTTCTCAAGGCCGGAAATGTCAATCTTGTCAAAACCCACACAAAAGAATCAATACGAATGTTTACTTTTCTAGCATTCCTGTCATTTCATTTTATGTCAAAGAGCCTCAAAGAGATCTCTACTCCGCGTCGGGTCGTAGGTTCAAACAAAGCATTCATACTAAGTTTGCGTTGGTTTCTGTAACGACGCTAAAACTCGTATCTTGATTGTTTTATTCGTGTTCTGTTGTAAATGCACTCAGATTGAGGTAAGTCTTTAATTCTTTCAATTCCAAGCTGATATAGGTACTTTCGATCAGTGCTTCTTTTAAGTGTTTACAGTTCATGTTCAATTTTCTTATGAAGACTATGAATCGTAAGTTCTTCCAGTGTTACACGTATACAGTTGATTTCGATATACCAATGAAAAAGAATCACTGTTCTTACGGTTGCTAAACTAAAATCCATACCAAGGGGAATAATCTAACGGATCTTTTACTCGTTAAGAGTCGTATTACACTATCTGGATCCAACAATACATCTACTAGAAAGTCTTGCTGTTGTTGCCGTCGATGTCTTTTTTTGTTTTTGGAAATACTCTGGATGTTTGCCCACTTCTGAAGATGTTCGAGTTCAATCTGTTAGTAATCTGTCATACCTGGAAACGTTTTAGACCCATTTTAAGACAAAAAATATCGTTAATAGCTTTTCTCCTATATTTTCTTTCTGACACACAACGTGTGCGATATTCTATTGCTTTCAGATTTGCATAAAACTCTGTGCCAAAGCACCCGTTTCGTTCACCCGATTGAACGAGACACCAATACGTTACGCATGCCTTAAAACCACCACCAAAAGAAGTAAGATGACCTCGGAGAGATACGATAGATCCTTATACTGATTTAACAAAGAGAAATCTGTTTGAGCACGCACTTGCTTGTAGGCTTGAGCAATTGAAGTGTGATCAACGTTTTCGAAAATCTATAAATGTGTGTCACTGAGGCATGCGCACTATTAACAGGGTGCCATGATCGAGAAAACTGGTTTTTCTCCTCCTCCCCTCTAATACAAGGCGAGCTAGAAACTGTGGACATGATCGAGATAAGATTTCTCCAGCACCTTAAAAAGTTTTTCAGTGTATGTTGCTCTCATTGACTGGAGTCACTGGACGACCAATCCGACTGGTTACAGGTGATTGACAGCTGCCTGACTGACCGAGTACTGACTGATAATCAAGGCCCGGGAGGGGGGTACTCAACAAATGTTTTATACGGGGAAGCTCCGCCCCGAGGTCCAACTTCTACCCTTTTATATACCATTTTGGACAGAAAAGTTATCCTTTTCGAATACCTTTAATTGATCAAATAGTACACCTTTCACACCTAGTTAGAACTTTGCATCTCTTTTAACCGCTGTGAATGCAGTGTCTTTCAAGTATTGAGTAATTAAATGACAAAACCAGAACGTCTTCTCCACTTTTCCAGAGTCATAGTGCATCTGTCAGCTTGGATTGTTTATAGACCGAAATGACAGATTTCCCTACCCTTTCATATATCTGAAATAAGCACCAAAAAGGTACCCCTTTTGGGCGGAGCTTCCCCGTGTAGGCCATTGTAGGGAGTCCCCTCCCCGGGGATCAAGGTCTGGATGGCCGACAAATATTTTCTATTTACTAGGGGTACAAAATACTCAGTAAGCCGTTCATGCTCGTTGATTTACTGACTGACTGACTGACTGACTGACGGACGGACGGACGGCTTCGGACTCTGGCTGATCATTTGATTTTATCCGACTGCCTATTGATGGAGTGTAACGTTAAAGAGATCAGGAGGAACTTTGACCAGAGCGATGAACTTCGAACATGCTATTTGATCAGTTGCTGATACAACAAAACTTAATTTCCCTTTGTTTTTAGGTCAGCAGAGTCTAATATCATGAGGTTCTTGGCGTTATTCAGTGTAGTGATGTGTAGCTTTCACTTAGGTATGTATGGATGCATTAAAACTGATGACTGCGAAAGATACTTTGATCTTTTTTCATCCAAACCGTCACATTTTTACCACTTTTACACCGTTTGTGATAAAGGTCTTCAGCGTGAGCTGATCTGAGTTGGTGATGATTGTTGTACTGATTTAAATGGGCTACTGGGTGCTACATGGGTTCGTACGGAGGAGGAGAGGGGTGCACTACTTGATGACAGTTTTCTCAGCAGTTATGGGCTTATGGCTCGGGGTCGCTAGGCTACTGCTCCAAGCATCTGAATTGTCTAGTTAGACAGAGAACTTTAGTCCATATAAGGAAAAAGCCTTAATTTTAACAATCGTTTCGTCAGAAAAGCTCAAGAACTTCACACAGGTTGCCCCAAATACGTGACGTTGATAACTCGTAACTTTAGCCAATTTCTTTCTTAATTTTTTAAAGACAGTTTTAACTAGCCGCGGGAAATTTAAAGTTAAATCCGATTTAGCCCTGTGTAAACAGAAAAACCGTAAAACAAATGCATATCAGTTTGTTTTCTCGTCGTCTTGTTGATAGTAAATTATGTAGTCATCTCACTTTAAGAAGGAGACTAAGCGTCGGTCTTAGATAGGTGTGTCCCCGCTCAACAGAGATCAGAATCAAAGAAAATGAGAGATCACTTCAGATAAACTGCAGCGCGGACCAATCAGTCTAGGAGTTTTTCTTCAACGAGAAGTTGCTTTCTTATAGCTTATGTCGCACCGTAATTTTTAGGGAGTTATTATAACTCCAAAACTGCAGTAAAAATTTTAGGTACAGGATAACCTCTTTTTGGCGGTTACTTTAACTCCTAATTTAACTCCGAATTTGGGGTCATTTTTACTCCTGAAAAAGAGTTCTTTTTTCTCCCAGTCTGGAGTTGAAATAATTCCGAAATGGGGTTATTTTTACTCCTTACAAGGGTTATTTTTTACTCTTTCTGGAGTTTATTTAACTCTGAAAGTGGAGTAAAAATTTTAGGTACAGGATAACTCCTTTTTAGGGGTTATTTTAACTCCTCAATATCTGGGGTCACTTTTACTCCTTAAAAATAATTCTTTAAACTCCTTTTGGAGTTAAAAAAACTCCACAAAAAATAACTCCACTGTAAGGAGTTAAATTAGCCCCACAAGAGGAGTTATTATAACTCCTTGAAAATTACTGTGCGCACGAAAGGCAGAGATGACTGTAATTTGCTTTGATCTTTATCACAGAGTGTTCCACAAAAGATCTTCCTAGTGTTTACGTCCGGGTGTCATGGAAAATGGTATGGCGTAGGTTCTGCCACTTTGTTCCGTTCTTTGCCGAAAAACTTTCGGAAAAACTTTATGACGCAAAGGCAAACGTGGTCAAAGCCAGCAGAATTCGCTTCATAAACGCTACGGAACTGTGCAAGGGAAAAGGCAACAATGCTGAGGCGATTTTGAATTTCTTCGTCTCGAAAAGTGAAAATGACCTTGGTACTGGAGATGTTGACAGAAATATCACGATTCTTGCTTATATTAAAATGCGTGATTACTGGAAAAACAAAAAGATGGCTCTTTTGGATCCAGTCTTCATCGGACAGGTAACGTCAAATTTGCTTGCAATCACACTTTCAGCAGCCCATACGGTCTCATCTTTAGAACTGCCTTATACGGAATCGCAAAAAAAAAAAAGAGAAAAGAAAAAAAAACGTCCTAAAGAAGCACTACTCGTCTGCATTTACACTGACTTTAGTTATTCCACATATCATTTCGACAGGTAAAAAGTGTTGAGATCTTGGGAAAAGACAAGCCAGACATCTCAGAGGATTTTTCAGAATCAACAAGAATAGGAATTGGCATAACCGTCGCTCTGATAGTCATCCTCTTAATCGCCGCTATCGCATTATGTCTGGTAAGAATCCCTCTAATGGACAAAGTGTAGCAATGTTCACTTATTTCAGTTATCGCAAACAAATTTCTGCGCGAAGAACTGAATATTATTAGACCAACAACAATTCGCCTCATGAAAGGGTATCCGGGTTCTGCAATCCGGGAAATTTTTGCTCAATTATGGAATCCGAAATCTAACGAATTTTTGCTCTGGCATCCGGAATCCTGGACTTTGAAATCCTGAGTCCCACTAACGACTAGAATCCGAAATCCAAATTCCATTGAAAAATCATCCTGAATTCAAATTCCACGGCGTGGAATCTAGAATCTAAGAAACGATACGTAAAACCGGTGTTTCTTTTCCGATGTAGCAGAAGACCAGCCTTAATAAGTTGAAGAAAGGCATAACGAGCCTTAGAGTTTCTTGAGGCTTCATTAGTTGGGTAGGCATATTTTTAAGGTGAGAGATTGCTCACTAATAACTAAAGATGCGAAGGGAAATCGGAGCGAGTAGAAAGAAGGTGACATAAGTAAATAGGAGAAGTCGTTACGTCACGTTGCCATAGTAGCAAAGTTTCTTGATGACACTGTCAAACCGAAAACGGCTCTTAAAAGTGAATTCGCACTGTTTCAAAGTTCATCGATCTTATTCAATTTCATTTAATGTGTCAAATAGTGGCGAAATTTGGGGGGTTGAATCCGAAAGGACTGTATCTAAGTTCAGAAAAAGAAAAAGAACATGTGTTCTGTTCACGTACTCCATAAAGTGGGCGCGTGAAATAAGAACGTTTCATGTCGCTGTCATTCAGCGACGCCGGGCTAAGAAATAAATAAAATAGCGTGATGCTCGTGCGAGGTTGTTGTTTTGCCAAATTAAGCCTATTGCTTTCTTCGCCGTTCTCAAAGCCGTCGCCGTCGTTGTAGCGCTATCTCCCTCTTGTTGTGATTCAAACATTTTGCTACCATGGTAACGTAACGTCACTCTTCTCCTCTCTGTAGGGTTGGCATGAGGCGAAAGAAGGCTCATTCTTAACCTCGTTCCCAGGTTCTCTTAAGAAGAGACACTCCGGGGAGCGAGGTAGCATATTCCTGGCCTCATGTGACTCGTGCACTCACATAGCCCCCATTTAACTAACTTCTGTAGCTATCATACAATTGCATCAATCTTACGGCGCAATATCGACAATTTCAGAGGCTTAAACTAAAGAGCTCCAAGAGACCTCTCCAAGATGCTAATAGGGCAATAACCGTCCCACTTCATGTTATCCACTCTGAATCATCTACCTCACCCCAAAAAACGGAAGCTCCACCGGTTTATGAATTCAGAGGACGCACACGGGACGAGAGGGACGGGAGATCAAGCAATAGTAGTTATACTGTCCGTAGTTCCCATGGTAATACTGCAGTCGACGATGAGTACCAGAGACGGGAGAAAAGGTATAACGGTCATAGTGTCCGTAACTATAGCAACACAACATTCGAAGAAGAGCATGGAGTAGGCCAAGAAAGCTTCAACGGTTATCCCGCTGGCAGTAATGGTAGCGTGGTTCTCGACTACGAAGATTTTGTAAGTGAAGTCATCTTATTATCAGCTTTATTAAACCAGGCTACTGCAGGGTCGTTCGCTTCAGGCATGCAGTTTCAACAACTACGGATGATGGTGCTAAGCTGTTTAAGTGTTGTATTTTACAACTGCTTTGGAAATGCAACTCGACTTGGAATATGCTGCTCCCACCTTTCTTTGGTCAGAGCACTTATAGTGTTAGTCATTTGCGTTCAATACTAATATTGTTTTTAATACAGTCTTTAATGTATCAGCTTGTATGTGAAAGTTTAAGTGGCATGGGAGTGGTGGCTTAATTGAGGAAGGAGTCCTTAACAGATTACTCTATCTTTTAAGCGGGGCTAAATTGAAGGCGTGGATGTGAGGGTGCATTTGACCTAGTCATACAGAAGAACTATTCAACTGAAAAAGGCCAAGTGACGGGTGAGAAGAAAAACTGCCGACCAATCCCTGTTAAAAAAAAAAAAAAACAGAGACTGGTTGGTCCATGGACCGGCTGGAGCCAGAGAAAATTTCACTCATTGATTTCCCTTAAGGCCAACGGGACTGCAGATTGTATACTCAGTTTACTCTCAAAGGTTCAGTTATCTTACGCGCTGGTCATAGAACATACTGTAATATCAGATGTTTTCTTTATTTCTTATTTCCAGGGATCACCCATGCTGTAGAGGAGGATTTTGATCAGTTAAGTGACGATGCCCGTGGATTTTTTAAAAGTCTCACAAAGCCGAAATGCCGAACAGCCATACCGGCATACCTTAACAGAACAGCTGCACTTATGCATGGTATGGAAGCAGACAGCTTCATGGTAGAAAAAGACGTTACTAATATAAATTAAAATGACCCTATCTGGTTTACAGATACTATCT